ATAGTCTATTCTTGAAAAAAATCAGTTAATCCAATTTTTTTTTTTTTACTCAAGAAACAAAAAAAAAAACTACGACATCCTAAAAGATATACTTACATTTTATATCAATTAATCAAGCTTAATATTGCGGTGTAATATTTCATTTTCACGAAAATAATAAACCAAGAACAGTCGAAATAAGGCATAGTGAATATCAAACATAGTTAGAACAGTTTTAGGTTGATATCGACAATAATTAACATGATTATTATAAAATACTTCGGAACGAAAACTTAACGTCATTATATTCCGCAAAAATTCTAAATTGATCAAGTTCTAAAAAAATATTATTGTAAATTTTGAGAGTTGTCAAAATGTACAAATATTAGGTATAAATTATTTTTCTGAGACATACTATTCTTTTATGGCATTCTAACAATAAGCATAACTTAAAAACATTGAGGTATTGATGTCATTGAAAAGAATGAATATTATATTGAAGCCTATATTAAACAATTTTGTTTTTTGTACTAATGACTTGTATTACGAAAGTTTGGTAATTTTGACTAGTGATTTTTTTTAAATTACTGAATATAAGTTGAAATAAAATTCAATTAGTAGTGAAATGAACCATTTTGACACACTGATACACCTCTTAATTGGTTATCGCTTCTTTTCTAAAGAAGAGATTCATAATTTATAAACTTAATAATCTGTGTCTCGTATAAAGTAAATTATGACAAAGTTCAAGTTAAATTCAATTTTAACGTGAAATTATAGAGTTTCAAAACAAGTTTTATAATTATATCTACTTAGACCTCCTCTATTCTTAAATTACATTTTTAACTCTCACGAAGACAATATTTCTATTCGTGAATATTTTCAATAATTTAGATAAAGATAAATAAATTTGAATATATTAAAATGATTTATTGGTTACTGTGATATAATATTACGAATAAATTGTTTCAGTTTTTAATGAAAAGAGTGTTGAATTAATTCAAACTTTATGGTCTGCAATCTTTAAACAGTACCATTTTAGACTTTACAAAACGTATATTATACTTTTCTCGACATGAACACTATTGGAATGTGAAGATACAAATGGTCAAAGGGAGGAGAGCATAATTATTACCATAGCAACCCCGTCGTAGTACAATCATGGCGGTGGTAGCATTATACGACAAAAACAATATAACTTTATTTAAAAACAAATATTAAAGTTGTCTTTTAGTATTTAGACTACCAATTTTTTTTAGTGTTAACTATACAGTTATTTATTATAGAATTATAAAACATATTTCATAAATTTAAAATATAATGCAACAATATTTCAAAATAAATTATTTTATTTCTCTTTTTACTAAAATTGTATTAATAAAAATAATATTAGCTAACCTACCATAATTAAAAAAAAAATTATCATACTATCAACATATTGTTATTTATAAGCTTTTTTTTTCTTAGTAATATCCTACATGTATTATATTTAAATTATAGATAAACTTATTGTGGTTAGGTTGGGTAAAACATCATCACAAAATATTGTTTTTTAAAGTTTCATATAAAAATTACATAAAAATTAGTTTGATAAATAAATTTTTATAACCAAGTCTGAGAATTATAATAGTTATAAATTTTGATAAATTATTCAGAACACAGCTTATGTGCGAGTACAAATTTTTATTAATTGACTTAGTAATGTTGATAGTGAGCTTATAATTTTGAAATAATTAGGAGTTTTACGTTCCCAAGAACGAAAAATATTTCTATGTTACTATATAATCCTATGACAAAGTTGCACAAATACGAGACCCTTAAAATTGGCTCAAACAAAATTTATCAATTAATTAATTCCTAGCCCTATTTTATAATTATTGAATTTACTAAGTACTAATTTATACATTTAAAATAATTAATATTAATTTTTAATGAAATTTTTTACTAGTATAATGAATTTAAAATGTCTTTGCCGGTCACATAAACAATATTTTCCAGACAAAGTATTTTTAATTTTGTATTCTGTATGATAAATACCAATTTAATCTAATGATAGTAGGGTATTTTATTTTAAGATCCTTTAAAAGATATATTAAGATTTTTATCCTTAATATCAAGTGTACAGTATATAATGCGGTACCACACCTTATTATGAATTTTATTATATTTTTATATTAATAACAATTTAAGAGCGTGACTAAGTATATAATGTATTAAGTATAATTTTGTTGATGTTTTTTACAAATTGTTTTAAACTATATATCTTATGGATTATTAATTTTTTGTACTATGTAATGTCTCAAATAGTGAATATTGACGTAATAACTAAGTTGCCAACCAAACATAATTTAACCTACCTTATAAATACTTTTTTAAATTCGTATAAAATCTAAAATGTTAATAATGAATCTAAATCATCCAATCAACTTATACAGTTTTCAATACTCCAAGATTTTTGAGAGATGTACATTTATTCTAAATTCTAAAATTTTAATGTAAAAATTAATTTTTCAAATATAAGTATTTAATATTTTTGTAATTTATAACATATTTTGAAATACTTTGCATAAAAAAAAAAATTTTTACAATATAAATAATGAGTGTTTAAATTTATGTACATCATCTTTATTTTACTTGTGCTGAGTAATGTATTTTATTTAATAAATAAAATATAAAATTATATATATTATAAATAATATAAACCAAAATTTGTATTATTAATATAATTAATTATTGTTTATAATTCATTATTTATTAAGCAAGATACTAACATAAAATTTGTGTGAACTAAATATAATTCATGGTATGAAAATCAAAAGGTTCCATCTGTTAAGAACATTATGTACAAACCATTTGGTTTTAATACCATGAAATACTAAAAAAGTAAGTTTTAATGCTAAAAGTAATACACAACAGGGGTTTTATGCAAAAAAATTCATCAAAACTAACTATTTTTATTAGATATACATATACTATATTTTTTAATTTAATTATTAATTTTTATTTATTTACATTCATCAGATTTCCCGAAAAATGTTTAAATACGCAACTGACACAATACAATCTTATGGAACATTGAAATTTAGAAGTCTTATCTTATGTAGGGTTTGGTTGGATTGGAGTTGTAGTATTCTAAAGAAATATTTTCTCTACAGCCCAACGTTAATAAATCGTAACTAATTTACACTTGTATAATAGGTTTTCATAATTTTTCTGAAAAATATATCTATATAAATATCTACAAAATCTACAGATTTGCTTGAATCATTTTTATTTATTCGCAATAACTAATCATTTCAATTTTGATTTAAATAGAATTTATACAAAAACTAGTAAGTTTTCTATTGTTTTCATTGTTTGTAAAATTTACCTGCTGTTTCTTACTTATAGCATACCTTGTATAGTTAAATATTTTCTTCATATTTTTTGCTGAAGCCACGTGGCTTATTGAATACCAATTTTATGATAGTCAATTATAAATATAGAAGACAAGTCATTGGAAATTTTTTTTTTTTAACTTGTAGTATATTGTATAACTTTTTTTAATATATGTTTAAAGAAAATAGGATTTTCGGAACACTTAAAGTTATAAAAGTTTTACTTTTTATACTCATTTTTGAACCCCCAACCCCATTATGGGAAAATTGTAAGATTTATAATAAAGTATGTCGATTGAAATGGTCATGCATTAAGTACTTATATTATATTGATATTACAATTTTTATTTATAGAACTCGTATTTTTTTAGTGGCTATAGTTATATATTTATGTTTAATTGGAAAATGAGTGTAATATTTTTATATAATACATGTGCTACAACACGAAACTCTGTATTGATTTTTCAAAAACAATTTTATCTTGCACTAGTATGCAAAAGTAATTTTTTTGTGTATCAATAAAATAAAGCATATAAAGTTTCTTTTAAATAAACTGCGGTTTATATTTCTTATTTACTTTCAATGTTGACGATATCACCGTTTCACACGTGTAAATAAATAAAATCGTAATGCATTGTTTAAACAACAGTTTTTGAAAATCATAAAAGTTCAGTCATACGCATCACGCATATCAGCTGTGCCACTATTTTAAGATGTAAAATAAATTTTGAATATTTTATGTTTATTATTTTGGTAAATTTTCTGTACAATATTGTTTGCAAATATATATATATATATTGTGTATACTTTAGGTTAACAAACAATACACTTTTTAATAGGTTCACAATGAAAGATAGGCATCAGCTCATAAAAATATCGGATATATACTTTTAAATTTATTGTTTTTTCAAATACAAAATACATAATTGAATTTATCAGTGTAATAAATTTCAATATTTATCACATAAAATTTGTCTGCATTGCATTACTTATTTTATCAAATTTTGGTTGGATTTAGTTTTTATTACATAAAACTTACTTATACTTATAAAACTTTATTACATAAAAGCTTCAATAAAAATCACTTTTTTTGTTGTTTTTGGTTTTAAAGAATAATTATGTTAATTAAAAGGGGTTTTTAACAATATAAAGTAATGATAGGATGTAAATTGTGTATAATGCTATTTTTATCACTAGTATTTTCCGGCCGTACTCTTTCTCCCGCCTAGGTATAAAAATGAGAATAATTCTCAAAATACTAGTTAAAAGTTGTTATCGACAAGTCATTTTTTTTAATTAGATCATTTTCTGTTTTATAAGTTAATTAAATAATACATGTTTCCTTTAAAAAATATAGTTGACATCCCTATAAGTTACAAATGATACTTTTAAAAAGTAATTTATAGCTCATAAATCAAGAAATATATGTAACTAAAAAATTGTTTTTTTTCAATATGTATTTATATTGCGAGTATTTGAGTAATTTATAATAAAACGATCACTTATACGTATAGTCAAAGTTGACAAGTACCTACAGCGGAATATTTTGAGGGATGGCATTTTTTTGTATTGATTATAATAATTACGTATTGGATATACTTTTTAATAACAAAGCAAAAACTTTTATAATAAAATAACTTTTACCTGATAATTCATGAAGTCTAGGTCCTGCATAAAACATTCCTGCTCTGGCAAACCACTCGAGCTGCATTTGTTGTAAATGGCCAGCAGATACATTTGAACGATTTACAGGGGCCGTAGTAGTACCTGTAGTTGACTTTAAGGAGTTAGTTATGCTTGTTGCCGAGTCAATCATACGAGTTAATGGTTGAAAAGCAGACGTTCCGTTAGCGAATCCAAAAGAACTACCATTACTGTTTCTTTGGTTTCGAATTCCAGTGTCTAATGTAGAAATTATTGAAAAATTATTTGATAAGTAGTTCTGTTGGTTACGCGGAAATGATGACCTGATAATAGAAGTCTGACTATTGTTTTCGTCACCACTATGTTTATCATCATAACCATCACATTGTTGTCCTGGTATAGGCGAAACACTCCGACTAGAACAAGGCGTAGACGAGCAATCAGATGAAGTTGCCAATGAAGTTTTATGAGAGTCATTGTCTGTATGTCCTAATAAAGCCTCTATACAAAATGACGTTCTGTTAACTTTGGAAGGAATTTGAGCTTGTAGTGACGGTGAAGGCGAATGGTTTATTATTTTCTGTTTTAAGTCCAAAGGACTTGATGAGTATATTATTCTTGTACACAAGTTGTTTTCTGACAACTCTGGATTCGACATTGCAAAATTTCAATTTTTTTTTTTTTTGTTATAAAAAACTAAAAATTGCGATTGAATAAATGATATGTACTAAAAGATGTATTTTTTGCCATGCATTTGGTTGATTGCTGCGCGATAGCAGTTGGTCAAATGCTCAATAAACGAATGTAGAAACTATTCAGCTACTTAACGAAGTGATGATGGCCGTAGAATACGGTCGGTGACCGTGCGCAAGGAATGAGAAAAGGGTGAATTTAACGGAACAACCTTATTGGATGCTAGTTTTTGTTGAAGACCACGCCTCCGTGACTCTCTTATTCTTTACATAAAGTGGTGGTAAACGCAATCATGTGAATAACAGGCGTTGAGGGTTGAAATTTACGGGCTTTTAACAACTTGTTAGTATCTTATGCACTGGTCGTTTTATTTGGCTTATTCATTTCCGTTGTCGAGAACGATGTGATTTGATATCGTCATTTATACGTGATTGTTGTTTGTCGACGTTACTATACCAGTTTACAGTCGTTTAGGGTTATTTGAATAGTCAAAATAAGGAGAATAAAAATGTAAATAAGCCTGTAAGTTTTGAAGATCTTTATTGTTAAAAGTCAATAAATGAATTGAAAGAAAAATATTTATTAAAATATAAATCTTTACAACTCTATTATACGAAATTATAAGTTGTATTCATTATTTTAAATAAATTTACTATAAAAATTAATCAATATCAATTTTTTTATGTAAGAAAATATGTACGTTTTACAAGATAATTTATACAAATAATGTATCTCTAAAAATTTTGTTTTAACCTAAGTTATAATATTAATAGTTTAAAACTAGTACAGTCAAGATATGGGATGAAAAATTAATAAAATTTGAAATATGACTTAAAGTATGAAATTTTATCTTAACATATCTTATTATTTAATAAAATATTGAAAAATATGCAACTGATAGAAAATTACTTAAAGAGCTCCAGTTTTTAAAACCTTTATTAATGAATGAGCTCGGCGACGTTATCCTGAGAAAAATATTCGCGAAAAAAAATTACCTTTTTTAGTGATTTTTTTTTAATATTGCCAGCTTTTTAAATATGCTACAATAAAAAACCAACCTCATGGTTTTCCTATTTAGAAAATTCAGCTGTCTAAGCAAAAAATTTTCATTATTTTCGATTTTTGAAAACGTACTGAGAATTTGTGTTGTTCGAACATATAACAAACTAATTTTTTTTGGGACTAATTTATAATAAAAAAAAAAAACGTTTCCACAATTTATTTTCTATCAGTTATTTCACTTTTAAGCCAAAAAATTAATATTTTCTTAAAAATTCGTCACCCTTTTTTATTTTACTATAACTTTTTCAAAAATATACTAAGCCTAATGGAGTTTTAATGCAATTAAAAGAGATAATAAGCTTACTTTTAGTGTAAATTTTGAGAAAGCTTAAAGAAAATACTATGAACATTTTTATCAACTGAATTTTTGAAAATGTAAGGAAAGGTCCCACAACTTAAAACTTACATGAATAAATATATATTTATATACATATAAATAATATAATATTTAATAATAAATCTCACAATAAGAAATCGTTCATCAGGTAAAAAACTTTTAATTTTTTCAAAAAACTACTTTATTTTTAATAAATTAAACAATTTAACAGACTCGCAACAAAACGTTTTTTATATAGTGGTTTTAATTACTGTTAGATATCATTTATACTAGTTCCAACTATGTCGCAGTAATGCAGTTGTCATTTAAAAGTGGTATAATTGGACCTTAGTTATAATATTATATTATCACTGATAGTATTATCATATAATATAATATTATTTTATGTAGACGTATATATAAATATACAAGATCACCAATACAGAATTTACTTATTTCAAATACAAATAGCCAGCTAATTGCAGCACACTACTCAATATTTTTCACTCTCTGTGACTTGTTATATTTTTTAAATTTGTTGGATTTAGAATAACACTCAAAATAAATGATTTTGAAAAATTTTAATGTGAATTTTGTTTTAGTGAATCTTTTAATTTAAGTTTATTTGTTCATTAAAAAATGTTTTACTTTTCGAAGTATGAAAATTAATGTCAATTAATATTTTGAACATCAAATCTTTCAGTCCAATGTCTTTTAACTATACGCCAAAAGATCACAAATCGTATCGAATTGAAATCATTGCCCTTGAAAATTGAAAAAAATTCCGTATATTTCTGTAAATAGACGAAATTGCCAAAAAAAATTGCAATTTTACATTAAAGTTAATCTTGATGAAATTTTGTTATTTAAAAATGTTGAACTTTTAAACACTATTTTAGCGCAACTTATTAGCTTAGAATTGATATCATTAATTGTAAAATTTTACGAGGAAATAAAAAATTATATTTTTTAAATGATAAGTTTTCAGGAACATATAAAATACTATTAACAGAAAATTTATGAGAAAATCTCAAAAATTATTAAAACACTATTTATTTTGCTTTTTTATCGTAATAAATCGTTTAAATAGAAGTCTTAGTAATCCTTTTTACGTAACTTTTTGTGTATAGATAGATGCTACAATTGAAATATTTAAAACTAAATTAATTTATTAAATATTCAATAATTATTTATATTAATACACTGTACATAATACATTTTTCTTACTACGTATTTTTTAATTAAAATATATTTATTGGTTATTCCTACGTAACCAAATAATTCTACATAAATATATATTTTATTGATTAAAAGGATTTTAGCTTCGATGCGAAGCGGAGAAGGTATTAATTTTACTATGACGTGTTTTTTTTTTTTTTTTTTTTTATGTCTGTTGCCACTTTTTCTCAGCTCTCACTGGACCGATTTCTTTCAAAAATACGTCAAAAGATCACAAATCGTATCTAGTTGAAGACATTACCCTTAAAAATTGAAAAAAATTCCCTCGTTCCCCGCAAATGGGGGAAATATCCAAAAAAATTACAAATTTAAAAATCGCTAATTTTCGAAATTTTTTCACTTTTTTTTCTTAAAACTTCCATAACTTTTTGAAAAATCAACAAATCAACATAATTTTTTTTTATACTAAAACCTTAGATATTTACCTTTCATTTGATATCATTTTTTTGAAAATCTATCACTTAACCTGCTCATTGGGGGGGATTTAAAATGGCAACTTTTTTACAAAAATTAATTTTTTCAACTTAATTTTTGAAAATGTTCCGGAAAGACTGCGTCCTTTAAACATATATCAAATTAAAGCTTATTTTATGTACTACAAAATGAAAAAAAAAAATTTGTCCCGACACTTTTTTTTCTACATTTAAACGGCTGCCGTAGTTAAAAAAACACTATTTTTGTGTTAAAATTTTCGATTTTCGATTTTAAATTTTCAACTTAAAAATGCTATAACTTTTTGAAAAATGTATATATCAGCACAAATTTTTTTTTTCTAAATACATTATAAGTACATCTTTCATTTGACATACTTTTTATTAAAATTGGACAATTTCCCCTTATATAGGGGGCGTTCAAAACTTAAAATATTGTAAAAAACATAGATCTTTTTCAACTGAACTTTTGAAAATGTTCCGGAAATACTGCGTCCTTTAAACATATATCAAATCAAAGGTTATGTTATATACTATCAAATGAAAAAAAAAAAATTGTCCCGACATCTTATTTTCTATGTGCAAACGGCTGTCGAAAATTTAAAAAAAAATGTAATGTTTGCGATAAAAATTACATTTTATCGGGATGTTTTTTGTACTTAAAACTGCCATAACTTTTTCAAAAATGAACAAATAAAAATAATATTTTTTTGTATTGAAACCTTAGATATTTCCCTTTCATTTGATATAATTTTTTTTGAAAATCTAACACTTATTCTGCTCACTGGGAGGATTTAAAATAGTAACTTTTTTACAAAAAAAAACTTTTTCAACTTAATTTTTGAAAATGTTCCGGAAATACTGCGTCCTTTAAACATATATAAAATTAAAATTTATTTTTTAAAATTAAACACTATCTACAGATTTGCATCGAAGCGTTTCTTATGATAGTGATTTTAATCACTGTCAGATTAAATCTATACTAAACCCTACTATGCAATGTCTCCACTATGCTGCGACCCCACTGTGCTACCGTTTTTGTTATTATATAGTCCGTATGCGAAGGTCTACCTTTTTTGTTAGATTAGGCGAAAAAAAATTCGATCGTTTTCAGTGATTTGTTTTTTTTATGAACTAGTCAATAAGGATATTTATTAATTAGGAAAATATTTAAAAACAAATTAAATGACTCTTCCCAAATTTTTTCTTTTTTGTTATCTCGCTATTCGAAAACTAAAAGATCCTATTATAAAATGTCCATAGAAGATAAAACTTTTTAGTTTTCCTTATAAGATTTATTATTAAAAAAATTCGAACCAATGTAAATAGAGCGCATAAAAAAATGTTTGATTACTACTATTTAATATTAAACGATTCTTTTACAATATCACTTATGGGTTGGGTCGTAATAAACATATACATAGATAAAATGAGAGACTGATTGATTTAAAATACAATTGTTAATCTATTGTATTTTAAATCGATAAGAAATTCTTAACACTATATAGTTATGATTATTTCAATAATCAGAATCTTAAACACCAAGAGTTATACAGAAATAATTACTAATTTATATTTACATGATTTAATACGATAAAAATGCAAAAAAAAATTGTGATTCTAATGAAATTTTGAGCTTTTCCCCTGTATTTACTGTAAATATTAATTATAAAATTTCCTAAATGAATATTAATTTTAATACTTAATCTATTTTTTGAAATTCGCTTTTATTAATTAGTTATAATCTTAAAATTGTAGAGATAAAAAAAATCGGAGCGATAATGGGTTTAGAAAAATATATTTAATCTCTTTTGAAAATTTCTTGTAGACCAGTAAATTTATTTATAACTAACAAATAATTTTTTATTTTTTATTGAAAAGTATTGCATAAAACCCTTTAATTTTTTATAGGCATTGTTGTAAAACTAACAACTACTTTATAACTTTTTATGATTTCTCAGTAAAAATTACAATATTAAGTAATTAAATATGAATTGTATATTAAATTATATTAATTATTTATTCAGATATTATACTTATAAATCAAAAAGACTACTAATCAAG